AGCCCAGGACGTGTGTGTGTGTGTGTGTGTGTGTGTGCAAAATTGTAATGCATGCCTTTACTTTTTCATTGCTTGTTTCACCATAAAAAAATCCCAGTTTGTGACTTGTGTGTGTGCATGTGTCAGATTTGCTTCTCACATTACTCCAGGGTACTTTGTATATGTAATATCTTTGTAAATCTGCAGCAGACAGTGAACATTGTCTCAAATATAAGTACAAACTTCTTACAGTTAACCCACACTCTTTAAAGACAGAAATATCACAGCTCAGTCCTCTACAAAGCTGGAATGCGCGGGCGTGTCAAGTCTGAGTGGATCAGCTCCAGATCAGGGGTCATTCTGCCGTCGCCGCTGCCAAAGAATCAGTCTGGAGACGCAAAGTATGTTTACAAAGTTTTCAAGTTGGAATCTATTTTAAAATATGTTTTTCAGTTATAACATTGTGTAACACTGTAATAATATAGATAAATAAAGTGTGGCATTTAAAACAAGGAGAAACCCATGTGGCTATACTTGCATGCGAAAGCCAGATCTGCTCAGACCTTTGAATATGTGCAGGGCAGAGCCTGGTTAGTTATGTGATGGGAGACCTCTGGGAACACCAAGTACCACAGTGGGGCGGCTGCGGCTGTAAAGTGCCAAACTGTCATTGTGGCCTTAGGCAAGACAGACAATTACCTAGAATAAATCTGGTGTGTGAATGGCTGGTGGTGGTTTGAGGGGTCGATGGTATATATTGGTTTCCTCTCTTCTGTCAGTGTGCCCCAGGGCAGCTGTGACTACAACAGTAGTTTACACAACAGTAGTGAAAGAATGATGACATATAAAGCCGTGTTCTCTCCGCTGTAATTTTTCTCAGCTGCATCACTACCGTTATCTGTGCCCATTTGTTTATTGCATATGTCTTTGTATTATTCACCAATAAAATCATTCTTTCGTTGCATTAGAGACAAGAGCTGTGACAGAAAATGCAGAAAATACTTTTTATTGTTGGTAAACGACACAAACAGAGATGGATGCCACGGCGGCTATAGATATTTTCAGATCAGACCAAAACATCAAGAGGAAAATCACTGACTTCTGCATCTTGTTGTAATGATCTGCTCTGTTTTTATCTACTTTCTCCCAGCAGTCTCGTAAAATATCGATAGCTGTTTGTAGAACTGCACACGCTGCTTTCTTTTATTCTTGAGAAGAGTTTGTATAAAGAGCCTGGATTCATAGATGTGAGAAGGCAGAGACTAGGGCTGCATGATTATTGAAATATAAATCGCAAACTTCGCCGTCGGAATTTTCAGGGCTCCAATTAAGTCCTTTGAAAACAACAAAAATAACTAAAGACGAAACCCAATGGTCATTACGAGCAAGTATCTTTCATCTTGGACAGAAGCATTTTTTTCTCATTCCAACTGAGTACCACTACATGCTACACAGAGCCGAACACTTCAAAAATCTATACATTTTCTCTGAACAGCATTTTGTCTCAGCTTTCTTTGAAATAAAGCTCTTGAGTAAAGCACAGATTGCCCTTGTGTCTCCGGTGGGCACTTTCATATAGTTGATTCTATTCATTTTTCTGCAGTGAAAAGTTCAGAGCCTTTTTAAGTCTGACAGCCAAGCCCCAGGTCTCCAAGATGTCCTGGGATGTCCTGGGGCCCATTCCCAATCAATGGTCATCGGCCATTGGTGCATGTTCACACCATCAAGGCTGAAACAAAAGGACGCATTTTTAGTTATCTTTGGTTCTCCCGGTCTTGCGCAGGACCAGAGTGACACATACACCTTCTGACCAGAGCATCGCTGATCGGAACAAAGCTAGAGCGGGCATCTTTCCAGCACTATGGCCCCCGTCTCTGGAACAGTCTGCCGGTGGAGCTCAGGGCCGCAGAGAACATTCATATTTTTAAAAGCAGGCTCAAGATGCACCTTTTTAGATTAGCTTTTGATTAGTATTTATTCTTTATTGCTAGTGCATTTTAGTTAATTTATTTATCTATTTATTTATTTACTTTTTTATTTTATCTATTTTTGTTATTACTATTGTTATCAATTTTAGGTAGCTGCCATTTACTTTTTAGTCTCACATTTTAATGTTTAACTTTGTTTTGTATTATTTTAGTATCCCAAGTGTTTCCTCTGGACGAGCCCTCTGCACTGATGGCTGGGGTCTGCTGTGGCTGCGGGGGTCTGGCTCTTGGACCAGGTGGGGTCTGGGGCCTCCTCTCTCCTCTGGGTCCTGTGTCGTTCCCCGCGGCTGCAGCCGGCTCTCTGCTCCTGGTGCAGATGGCTCCTTGGATGGCGCTTCTTCAGCCGGTTACATCTGCACCCAGCCCTATTTCTTTCCATAGTTCTACCTATTTCACCGTTATGTTGTGACTTTACATGTGCCTGTGTGTGTGTGTGTGTGTGTGTGTGTCCGTGCATCTGTATGTCTGTATGCATGTGGATGTATAGTTTTTAATAAATGTGGTCTTGGGTGGGTCTGTGGGGCGGTGGGGTTTAGGGGTGGGCATCTTGGATTGTTTTTAACCAAACTGTAAAGCACTTTGTGTTACATATTTTGTATGAAAAAGCGCTTTATAAATAAACTTTGATTGATTGATTGAAGAACAAGCAAACTAAAGTTGGGATTTATATAAAAGCAATGAATTTAAACATTTTAAAGAAGTTATTGATAACAAAGGACAATGAGATCTGACCGCTTGGGTAGCTGAAGGTTCCCTGTCAGCGGAGGATGAGCCGTTTTAGTTAATATTGAGATAATATTCAATAAAAACATCCATGCTTTCAGACCTGGCCTCTCAACATATCCTAGATGTTATCTCACACCTTGCAAACCTCTTCCTCTGTAAGTAAGTAAGTAAGCTTTATTTATATACCGCCTTTCACAGACCAGAGCCACAAAGCGGTTTGCAATTGTTATTTTTTGGGCATTTGTCCACTCACTCCACACAGAGATGGGAGCGGGGTCGCCGAACAGGAGGCGCATGCCAGACCTATTGTACATATTTTTAGTGGTAGGGGAAACCGGAGTACCCGGAGGAAACCTACACAGACACGGGGAGAACATGCAAACTCCACTCAGAAAGGCCCTGGTCCGGCCGGGATTCGAACCCAGTACCTTCTTGCTGAGAGGCGAGAGTGCTATCCACTCAGCCACCGTGCCGCCGCTGTAGAACATGTCTCGGTCTCCATAATGTGATGAGTGACCAGACAATGGGTTATGGGAGACAAATGTGCTCCAGCAGCTGTTTTGAAATGATATTTTTGGGTTTTGAAGACAAAACTACATCTTATATTGCCAGCAGAAAACTGAAAAACCGAAAACGGAATGCAGTTAAGTAATTATATTTTCATAATTTTTAAGATGATAAAAATAGTAGAAATACTGAATAATAAACATAACTTGGTGGGCAATCTTGTGAGAGTTATTAGAGTGTGTAGTGAGAGTTTGTTTTTCTTCTCAGACTGGGCAATAAATCTAACTTATTTTATGACTGTATATTTGTGAGATGTGTCATAATTGTGAGATATATTATTTAGTTTGGCCTCTGCTTCTCGGGGCTTCTGCAGTTTACAGAAAAAACACATCAATTATAAATTAGATGTCAGCGTTTGTACAACACTGTAATGACCTCTTGAAACAGAAATAAAAAATGGGATTGCTTTTTGAATATTGATCTTTTTTCAGTTTGATGACTTCGGTTGAAATCCATTTAAAATCGTCCAAAGAGTCTGTTTCTAGTTTTTGTTCGTTCTTGGTAGACTTTATCAAACTAAGTTCTAGTTTTAATTATTTGCTACTTTGCTTGGAGGAATGACAGCTGCTCCTTTGATTTATGCCAAGTTCCTAAATCAGAATGGAACTAAACATTATCGAAAACAAAACATATTACGTAATATGTTAAAACCTCTAAAAGTGTAATTATGTAAACAGTATGTCTCCTTTAGGGTCCTGTGTCGAGCAAAGGATCCTTACTTAGATGGAAAACGCCTCCGCCCCTCCCTTACCCAGTCAACAGCCGAAATCCTCATCTACGCATTCATCACCTCCAGACTCGATTACTGCAATAGCCTCCTCTACGGACTTGCCACATCTCATCTCCGAAAACTGCAATACATCCAGAACTCTGCAGCCCGCCTCCTCACCCATACCTGGTCCAGAGAGCACATCACCCCTGTCCTCCAGCAGCTCCACTGGTCCCTCCATCACCTGGCCCCGCCCTACCTTTCTGAGCTCCTACAACAGCACCAACCCACCCGCTGACCCACCGATTCCAACCTCCTCACCCCCATCACCCGCAGTAACCGCCGGACCTTGGGGGACAGAGCCTTTGCCATTATCGCCCCGACCCTCTGGAACTCACTCCCACTGCCCATTAGAAACTCGGACTCACTACCAAACTTTAAATCATTACTCAAAACCCATCTTTTCAAACAAGCTTTTCCGTAAACCCCTTTTTTTTTTGTATTGTCTTTTATTCCCCATATGGAGCATCTTTGAGTGTCCAAAAAAGCGCTATACAAGTTTCATATATTATTATTATTATTATTAAAACATATTGCAATCAAAATAAATCATTCAAACCTAATAAAATGAAATAATCAGAATGTAGCATAATCTTATCTGATAATTTGTATCATTCATCATTATCATAATTATCATTATCAAAAGTCATAAGTTATGCTTTGGACTGATTGGACTGGATAATCTTAACCTTGCTTTCATAAATATTGGATTTGTCTTGAAAAAGTAAAATGTTGTGAACAAATCAGACCACGAGATGCTGTCTTCATCTACACAGCTGGGTGGTCCTCTCTTTTTCACGCATCTGTCTGAAAAAGCTGGCGTGAAAATGTGCCAACATGACATGCATGTGACAACGGTGACAGTGACACTGCTTTTTGAGCACGAGGAGCTGTAGCCATGTGTTGCGTCCCATAGTCCAATATCTGTGCATTGCAAGTTAGGTACCCCAGCTTTAAACCGTGCCTTATGTATGTGTGTGCGCGGACGCCTTGACGTCGTTGTGTGCGCGTGTATAAGAGCAGACCGCGCGCCTGCACCGTGCACAGAGCTGCCTTTGCCTCCGCGGGAGAAAAGACCCCAGTTTCATAGCAGACTTTTGGCACAGTCTCTCCAGGCGCGCTGCATCCACTCCACGCCTGGACTGTTTTTACGCACAGGATCCAAGTTCGGCTCCGTTCTCCCAAGAAGTATGGAGGCGTACACGGTGGCCGGAGCCCCCCTCTCCTATTCGGACCTGTACTCCATGATCCCCTACAACAGCACCTTCCCGGATGACTACCCCGAGGCGCTGCGTAATGACAGCGGGGGAGTGCAGCGAGGGAGACCCGTGCGCAGCGCTGGGGACATGGCCATAGCCATCTCCATCACCGCGCTCTACTCGGTGATCTGCGTGGTGGGGCTGCTCGGGAACATCCTGGTGATGTATGGAGTGGTCAGGTGAGCTGGACACAGTATTTGGAGATGGATATGGGGCTTAATGGGAAACGTGCGCGTCTTGGGTTTGTTTCAGCGATTTGGTTTGGAGAATAATGTGTTATTTATCTAGTCCATTTGGTATAACTGGCATTGTGGTGTATGGTTGAAAGTTGTTGAGTTTTTCATTCATGACGTTTCTATATCGGTTTTGATCATGAGGCTATGCTCAAGATCCAACTTTGGACAATATAATCAAAAGTGTGCATACATTTCTAATCAGGTTTTAACTCATACAATGCTTAACAATTAGATAAATGCTAATAAAAGTTACATTTTACCTAGTGTAATGAGGCTACATTACATTTGCAGCCTACTTCTTCAAGGATGGTTTCAACATACTGAGATTTAAGCATGGTGACTGCTGGCTAGTTGGTAAAAAGAGAATTTCCAATGATAGTGTAATTTGTTATTTTATTTTAATTTTTTGATTGGGTAATGATGAGATTGCAGATACAAGTGATCTGATGACTTTCCTCCGCAGTGGCTGGGCCCTTAGAGATAGGGTGAGGAGCTCAGTCACAAGGGGAAAGCTCGGAGTAGAGCCTCTGCAACTCCAGGTCGGGAGGAGCCAGTTGAGGTGGCTCGCGCATCTGTTTGGGATGACTGTTGGACACCTGGCTGGGGAGATGTTTCGGGCTCCTCCCACTGGATGGAGACCCCAGGGAAGACCCAGACCACTATGGACCCCAGGCCAGCTGAGGGACGGTGTCTCTCAGCTGGCCTGGGAACGCCTCAGCATTCTCCCTGATGAAGCTGGAGGAGTTGTGTGTAGATCTGGAAGTGTGGGCGTCTCTACTTAGATTGCTGCCTCTGCAACCCAGCAACATAAAGCAGAATCAAAAGGATGGATAGAGTTTCTTTTGACATGTTGGACAAACATTGCCTCCATCTTTCGTACAACAGTCTGCATCGCTCTGTTAATGAGTTATCAAGCTTCAATTTATTTAATTCGACTGGGCACAATTTGTCAACTAATTGATTCCCCCCAACTGCATAATCAATCAATTTATCACACCATCAATACATGGTCACTGACTGCCATTGTGCTATGAATCAAACAACATATTTCACATTCCAGACATGTCATTTACATTATACCACAACAAATGATTCAACCACAACTTATTCAAGCGCAATCTTCAAACAGATATATATAGAACCATATTTTCTGAATAGTTCAATACATATGCAGCTATTTGCACTTGATCATTCTCTTTCTCTTCTCCTTTGAACAGCAGCACTTTCTACAGCTGTGATTGGCAGTGTATTTATTGTATTGCCCTCCTATAGCGCTCTTTCTGTCTCCTAACTGCCCATACGCCATGCCGAAGTCTCACACAGCTCTCAGAATACAATGCAAGGAGCCGTAATGGTGCGTTTTATCGGTCTTTGGTTTCAGCAGAAGACACACACTGCATTTATATGGAGCTATAACTGCAACTCTAAAATAAATTGCAGACGATATGAGTACAATACCGAACTAAAGTATGAATTGTGTGCAGAAATGGGCCTTTCGTAATAGGCTTCCTTCATCAAAAACAGACCTGGCGACGTTCTTAGTGCTCCATCTATACATGTACCCCCAACCTATCTGTCGTAATGCTGCTTTTTCCAACTCGCCATGCCATCAAACCGAATGACTACAAAGCATGTGAGCTTGTTTTCTGCCAATTAAAAGAATAAAACTTGTTCACACGCCATATGTTGAAGCAAAATCTTAGTATGTGACTTCCCGTTATATACAATGGCAATAAAAACCTTTATGATTATTATGATAATAAGCATAAAACAGTTAAAAGCATACAGTTGAAAATTAAAAGCGGAATGTGATGCCAAGCAGGACAGAGCCTGGTTAGTACTGTGATGGGAGACCTCTGGGAACACCAGGTGCCACAGTGGGGCTGCTGCGGCGGCTATAAAGTGCCAAACTGTACCACAATGCCTAGAATAAATCTGATGTGTGCGAGAATGGTTGGTGGTTGGAGGGGCCAATGGCACATACCGGTTGCCTCGTACCCCACGGCAGCTTTGGCTACAGTAGTTGTTAATCACCACTGTGTATGGAGTGAATGACATGTGAAGCGTCTTTGAGAATCCAGAAAAGCACTCTATAAAACCGATGCGATGTGAATCAGGGGGAAGGGTCTCCTGGAGCTGGGGAGCAGAGCAGCTGAAGGCTCTACTCCCCATGGTGACGTAGCAAGCAGGGGGCGCCATGAGCTGAAGGGAGACGTTCTGATGTGGAGGAGCTCAGAGAGATATGGAGGCGATGTTTTGGATGGTTTTGAAAGTTAGACCCAGGATTTTGTACTGAATGCAGTGGGTGATGGCAAGGCATTGGAGTTGTTTCAGAGCAGGGGTGATGTGGTTGATGCATGGACCAAGTGTGAAGTGATGAGAGTGAACGATGCAGGACTGCAGTGAACTGTGGAGTGAGGGGGGGTGGAGGATTATTATGATCATTACTATTCCATAATCCAGGATGTCCATATGTAGTTCGTTTGGCGTTTCTTTGTGTCCTTGTTCTGTACTATTTTCGTTATGATATGTAAAGTATGATTGTAATTGACTTTTGCGAACTGCCGATGCTCATAAGCGTTTTGCTTCAGCCCACTCCTTTTGTGCAGTATTATATCCCTTGTATTATGTTAAGGGTCAATTTGACCCATTTCAGTTTTTGAGTTGATCAAAGTACTGGTTATCCTTTCTTTTTCTTGCTGAAATTTGGTGACTTTTCCTCATCTAGGGTCATGAACTGATGTGTAAAATCTGGACACTTTGATGTGTAGTGGAATGTCTGTGCAGAGTTTGTATACAAAGATGATGTTGCGGGTCAATTTGACCCAGACGCTTTAATGTGGGTAAATAGTTGTTCAGATCCAAAAAAACATGTCTCTTTGACATTGTACTTTGATTGCCTCTGAGATCCAGAGCCAGGTGGGTGAAGAGAGGAAACTTTCTCACACTTGTCCTTGTCACTGTTCTCATGTCATCTCTTTTGCCTAGCGTACATCGTACTGGCAACTGATTATATCCGTCGCCTTTGAGTTGCTACCCTGCACACAGCGACAATCTGGCGTAAACGGGCAACTCCTAGTACAGGCCAGTCTGGGGAATCACAGGAATAATAGTTGACAGCAACTGGCCTCAACTACAGTGTGTTTTCTGACATAAACTGTGGAGGGCGCAATACACGCAATACACACATGTTGTTGGAGCGCGCACATCGGGTGATATCTCCGGATCTGCGGACAACTAGTTGCCGAAAAGTAGAACACGGGCAACTGACTGAAACCGGAGATCGACTGTTTATCTCCAGTTGTAAGAGCGCTCACATCGACCGATTTCGGCAACTGATCATCTCCATCATCTACTCTCAGTTGCCAAAAGCCGCCTTGAAACTAGTTGTCTCCAGTTACTTTGTCGATGTGCGCTAGGCTTTAGACAAACTCACCAAAAATGAGCTCCAGAAGGATGACATCTGAGGAGGCTTTATCACAGATTTTTAACTGGGATAATGATGTAGAGGAAGAGATTTCAGAAACAGAGGATTTTTCAGAGACAGAGGACAATGTTATTGCTGATCCAGATTGTCAATTTTCCTACGATAAGGAGGATTCAGAGGACGAATCTTTGGTCAAAGAAAGAGGAAGGGAGGACGGACGGAAGGTAGGAAGGAAGGAAGGGAGGAAGAGAAAAGAAGGGAATAGATGAGGATGAACAGAGAGAAGGAAAACTCTGGTGGAAGCATAGAGGCTTACAGTAAGAAATTACTGTAACCCTCTATGCTTCCACCAGAGGGCGGTAGTCGAAATTAGTTGCTGCAACCAAAGATATGCAATTATTGTGTTGCTCATTCTGGCCATCTCTTACTCCGTTTGAGTATTTGTAATGATGTCAAAATTGAAAACATGAAATGAAAAGTTAAAAACAAACACACACATGACACAATGCATCATACTTTAGTTATTTGTAATAATTTCTGATATATATCACAAAAAGACAAATTCCAATATTCCTTAAAATAAGATATACAGTGAAAAATGTCTTAGTTTGCGTTCATAAATATGCCATTACAATCATGTGTCGCTGCAGTGAGTGGGCTGCACCTATGATAGATCTGTCGCAGACTTGGCCTGGAGGAGGGAATGCTACCACTGTAATAATCTCAGATATGGAATAAAACCATTCTTTCTTTAACGTGTGGTGAAGGGGAGGTTTTTGTATTTAGAAATGGTGGACCATGTAAAACTAACCCATCTCACAAAGGTCAAAGGCATTTCAAACATGGGTACGATTTGGAATTCTACAGTGACTTTGGGTACAGTTATTACTTTTAATTATATATATATATATATATGTATTGTTCTATATGGAGATATGATGTGAGCTGGGTTTGAACAGTTTGTAAAGGTAGATTTTTAGCACAAACTTCATTGTGTCTGGTACATGTTTCAAATGCAATTTTGTTTTCTTGTATTTCATGCATTGTTGCAGTATCCTTAACTTATATCAGAATGTGCAATAACCACATGTCACTGTCACTTTACTGAGTCCCATGTGTCTCAGAGCCTCATGCTGCTACAGACGTAAACATACTGCTGCTAACATGTACAGTACAGATGCAAACATTTAACTACACATTGCTTGCACTAGAATACACAGTACAGTACTTTATACTTGACTATTATTTTGCCAAATGTAACACTTTTACACCTTTTTTATTATTATTTTCAAGATAGAGATTTTATACTTGTTATTTGATGCTAGAGTTAGAGATTTGTTTTATTTAATTAGTATAACTATTGTTCACTTATCTTGTGCTGTGTGATCCTCTTTCCTACTGTTCTATAACTTGTGATGCAACACTGAAATTTCCCCACTGTGGAACAAATGAAGGATCTCTTAATCTTAATCTTATATTTTTTCTGTACCACCCTTTTAAAAATCTTTACTTTTCATCCT